GAGTTCTAGAGAAATAAAGATGGTCAGTGATGGAAATGTATTTTGGCTTAAAAATGTGCAGACGATGTTGGTAAATATTAAGTCTTGTAGTATTTATTTTAACATAAAGTCTCTAATAAAAGTCTACTATAACTTCTTAATAATCATAATTCTCTCAATTTTAAGTCACTAAATCACTTGACAAATAAGTAATTGTAAAACATTTACAAATTATATTCTCCAATTAATTCTATCTAGTGAAATTTTTAAACAAAGTTATAGATTCAGCTAAACTTAAAAAAAAAATTATTTTGCTGGAAACAAAACACAGTGAACCTGAACCTACTTCCCATCACTGGTGGGAGCTGAAGCTTTGGTCAACTTCCACCCGCATTGGAGCGCCATAATTTACTCGACGAGCAAAAACACTCACGAAAAATAATAAATGTCCAATATGTTAGCCCGTCCTGGCAACACATAACGAAGCCAAAAGAAAGCAACACCCAAACATACGGCCTGCACAAAATCGACATCAGTGACAGCAGCACCAACAACAACTAAAACAAAAAGACAACAAAGTTCAGGGACTAAAAACCTTGAATACCCTCGACCAGGGTTATTCAAATTTTCTAAAATCTTCATAAGCTATAATACATTATTTTGTTGGGGCTGAATGTTAATAAAACTTTATCCATTTACAATTTCAAAGAAATTCACATAAGCAGATGATGGTGGAAGATTTTAATTTATAAGATCATTTGTAGGTACTAGGAATTAAAATATATTAAGATAAAGATATAATCAAACGATTTGATTGTACCACAGTTCAAAGAATAATTAAAAATTATTAAATAAGAATAGACAAGTACATAATTAAATGTATCTGTATTTTAGGCTGCCGATCCTCAAGTGTATACAGAATATGCAAAACAAGAAGTATAAGTCCGGTAAAGAAATACTTCTTATTTGCTTAAAAATGTTTATAGCAAGATTAGACATTATAGAACAGTACCCTTTTGTAGGGCGCGTCATAAACCATGTTTATTCGGCATGTGTGAAGCGAAGGATGATAAGAAGGTGGGAGGCGGACTGACCAGGAGGGCCGGAATTGGGTGGAGTGGGCTTGGACGAGGGCGTGGGCGGAAGCTGGGGCCACCTGCTAGGCTCGAGTGCATGGAGTGAAGTTCCATTGCGAACATGGGCAGCATGTCGCTCCATTAATTTGCCATAAAACAGAAGTGGACTAAAATTTGTTTGTCGTTGTTATTGTCCGAGAAAAAAATTACAAATGGTACAGATCCTGGAGAACCAGTGCATCCCGGTTGGGGGTGGATGTGAACTAGTTGTGGGGTCAAAGTTAGGGTCTGCTTATTTATGGCGCAACCACTTTTGATGTTCTGTTAAATGTCCGCAATGACACATTGACGACATCCCCTATTTGTACTAAAGTACAAGCCTGACGTAGAAGGACATTAGTGGCGTGTTGTGATCTGCTTTTCATTCCCATACTGACACGGAATTTAGGACAAGGAATCCATCGGATTAATTTGGCTGCAATCTGAACCAAATAATTGCAATGAATATTACGTATACGCTAAATTGCCCTTAATAGGGAATATTGATGTGTTAATTATGTTTATAATCATCTTGGAAGTCAAATTTCAAATTACACGGCTAGTTTCTTTTTAAGATTATACATTTTTTTGTATTTTTGAACGGTGCCTTGAGATATTAAAAAATAATTTGTACGTCTTACGATATAGACAGCTTAGAAGACAGTTTTGGCTAAAAGTATAATCCTTAGTAAACCATTGTTCTCTAAAAACAAAATTTGTCGACAAATATTTGTTAAACAAATTAATATTGTATCCCCAAGTGCAATGTTTCCCTTCATCTCTTTTCATGTTTTTGTGTTAAGCTTTTAATCATATTGGGGAACCCGGCATTATCATTGTTGGTTCGAGATATCTTATCAATAAATGCAAACAAGCTAAGTCCGCTTAGCTTTTCTTTCGCGCTAAAATCTCAGCAAGAAACCGATCGCAGAAAGACCTTGTTTTTTAGATTCAATTCTAGGCCAATGAAATTTTGTATATATCAAATCTGGAAATGAGTGGATATAACAATACCCAAGCTAAATTAGTTTACTCTTGGTATTATTATCCTTAATATCTAATGTCGATCCCATTGTGCATTGAATGTATAAAAATAATTACTTCCTCGCAGTTACAAAAAATTTAAAGAAATCTGGTATACCCTTTTACTACACTGCAATTAAAATGTAAACAAACACAGCCAAACAGCTGTGTTCAAGTGGTGATAACATTTGATTACAAAATGAGGGTGGGGTTTGTGTCGATTAATTTCTTATCGCTATCTGTGTCTCATACGTCACAAGAGCACACTCACAATTCCACAGTTTGCTGATAACTGCAAACTTTGAGGTCCATTAGCGTAAATTTAAAAGTATTTGAATCAGTTGCGAATCGGCATTTCAAGTGAGTGGTTATTGCTGGCAAATTCGATCCAAGCTTAGAAATGGCAAAAGACAACCTGACGGCGGTGTTGCATGGAATTGAGGACATGCGATTGGTAAGCTTAAAAAGGATAACACAACGCGTTCGAATATTCAGCACGTTTATTCTTCTTATATAGGAACAACGCCCCATTCCAGAAATTGCAGATGATGGTAAGCAATTTTAATTAAACCAATGCGCGAATTAAAACACAGTCAAATACGCATTTTTGTTACACAAGTGGAGAGTACGATGAAATGGGAATGTCTAACTATTTAACGTAAATAACATTAAAATATTTAAACAATGTCAGTATAATTCCATAATTCTAATCGACTAAATGACCTAGTACTTCAAGCCGACTGTGTCAAGGTTAAATTTACGTGACTTCATCATTAAATGATAAGGAAATAAAAGCAGCTCTTGTTTGTAAAAAGTCTATACAGATTCTGACAATTTAAGAGCTGAGAGACAAAATAAATTATCATTTTTTTTATACACTCAGAAAACTAAATTGCCTTCATTTTATGACTACATTGGGTTTCATATTGGGTGTTACATATTCTTGGGTGTCGCTTAAGGTAATGTCTTCCTAAATTGAGAAAGGCTCAAATTTAAGGCAATTATTCCTCATTTTAGGGCTATTTTTCCTGAAATCAAGCAATTTAGTTTTCTGAGTGTAGGGAACTTATTTAATACCTAAGGTCCATTTAATTGTATTTATATATTTGCCTCTTGCTTAGAGGTTCTTCTGGCCATGGACAGTGTCGGCATTTGCGGTTCTGATGTCCACTACCTTGCCCACGGCCGAATTGGTGACTTTGTTCTCACCAAGCCCATGATTATTGGCCACGAATCCGCCGGTGTGGTGGCAAAGCTGGGCAAAAAGGTAACCACCCTGAAGGTTGGAGACCGGGTGGCCATCGAACCGGGAGTGCCCTGCCGCTACTGCGATCACTGCAAGGAGGGAAAGTACAATCTCTGCCCGGGAATGGTCTTCTGCGCCACGCCCCCCTACGACGGCAACCTCACCCGATACTACAAGCACCCGGCGGACTTCTGCTTCAAACTGCCCGACCACGTCACAATGGAGGAAGGAGCGCTCCTGGAACCCCTGTCCGTGGGTGTTCACGCCTGCAAGCGGGCAGAGGTCACCCTGGGCTCCAAAGTGCTCATCCTGGGAGCAGGACCCATCGGACTGGTTACCCTGATGGTAAGTTAAATTAAATAGGTAAATTAAATTTCTTTTTGACTCACAGGAAGTTAATATTTTAACTATCTGCACTTATGAAAATTTCTTGCAGCAAGAAAAAGCACAAGTACATTCATTGGATTTTAAGAACGAGCAATTACTACAGTTTAAAAAGTATTGCCTCGTCAAAAAATGGCTTTTTTTATTTATACTTCAGTTTTTTTGAGTTTCTTTGAATATATAGTAAATTTACTTAAATGCTGAATACTAACGTCTAGAAAAGGCAGAAGAATTTTTTTTAAACACGTTTCTAAAATTTCAAATTTCTAAGTCTCCAATTATGAACTTCATTTTTAAGATCTTAAATCTTAATTAAGAGAATTCATATAGGTATTCGATTGATCATTTAAATCTCAGAGTTGGTTTTAAAATTATTTTAAATACAACTTTTCCAAATATGACACCAAAGAGTCGCTAAATCATAAGTCGTAAGTTTTGCTAATAGTCATATGCTTAGAAATTTATAAAATTTACTAAATCAAAATAAAATTTTCAAAACAATTTAAAATAATCAAATTACTTTTAATCTCTCTTACTTTGCAGGCTGCTCAAGCCATGGGTGCCTCTGAGATCCTGATCACAGATTTGCTGCAGCAACGTTTAGATGTGGCCAAGGAGCTGGGCGCCACCCACACGCTTCTGCTGAAGAGGGATCAGACCGCCGAGGAGACGGCGGAACTTGTCCAGAAGATGTTGGGCGCTCAGCCGGACAGGGCGATCGATTGCTGTGGTGCGGAGACCAGTGCCCGCTTGGCCATCTTTGTAGGACAACTTACAGGCTCAGGTTGATCGAAATAGTCAAATTTGCAATTTCTATTTCAGGCCACTCGTTCTGGCGGTATTGTGGTGGTGGTCGGCATGGGAGCTGCTGAAGTCAAGCTGCCTCTGATCAATGCCCTGGCCCGCGAAGTGGACATCCGTGGCGTTTTCCGCTACTGCAACGAGTAAGTGTTAAATTCGACAAAAAAATCAATTTGCTTACCCACAACTTCGTACAGCTATGCCGCTGCCCTGGCATTTGTGGCCTCTGGAAGGGTCAATGTGAAGCGACTGGTGACCCACCATTTTGACATCAAGGATACGGCAAAGGCGTTCGAGACCTCGCGAAAGGGTCTGGGTGGCGCCATCAAGGTCATGATCCATGTGCAGCCCCGGGACACCAACAATCCTCGGAAATTTTGATCACATTTGTAATCACAAATAACCTATAAATATAGCCTAGAAACACAGTAAACTGTTGCGCATCATTCAATAGGCAATAGCCATGCACAAAATCTAACGTTTCGGCATAGCCCAGTATTTGTAAAATCCTAAATTTGTTGAGTTTCCGGTAAAGTATCGGTCGACCCCCTTCTTTAATCAGCCAGATGGCCGGCATCGTTCTAGGCGGTATTGCCGCATGTCGTCGATCCACTCACTACCTCGGAATCCTGCGCGTCTCCTTCCGCCCCCTCTATTTTAGTCCTTTCAATGCCCCACTGCATCAGCGACTTCGCCGGCACTCTAGCTCCTCGGATTCGGGGGATTCCGGTGAGAAGAAGTCCATACAGGTGTCCCAGGGACCAGCTTCCACTTCTGGTGGCTTGGATACGACAGCAGCACCGCCCAATCCGCCGGAGGTTCCCGGTGTACGGCGACCAGAATCGCCCTACGAGGCCAGACCCGAGCTGCCCGTTGAGGTTCAGCCAAATCGCTCCCATCCCCCGCCCGCAGAGGTCAAACCGCCAAATCCACTCACTATCATCTGCAGTTCGGGTAATAAAGATTTATCAGAATCTTTGAAAGATGTTTTAGAAAAAAATGAAAACTCCCGAGGCGATAGTATTGCTATAAATATAACGGAAAAAAAAGGTGAGCAAAGTTAAGTTACTGTATTTCCAGAATACATCTTAAGCCCCTCCCCTTCAGACTTGAAGACAAAGATTGAATCACAAGCTTCGTCTCCAGTTGAACTCAACTCTACAAAATCAGTCTTCACTTCTAATAATCAAGCAACGCCTCCAATTAATGCTGAACTTAAATCCTCGGATTTGACCGCAAATGGATCTAAAACGGATGTGCCCCATCAAACATCTTTCGTAATTCCATCTGTTGTTAAGTCTCAAGATTCGACACCAGCTAAGTCAAAAGATAAGAACATACCTGAAATCGTCCATTCTACAGAGTCTCAGTCGTCGACTGAAGCTAAATCAAAGTCCGCAAAGTCCCAAACTTCCAGCCCTCAAGTTCAGGTTATTGATTTGGATCCCAAGCCAAGGTCCGATTCTATCACATTTCATTCAGGTGGGAGTCTCGATTTAAAGATTACACCAAGTTCAATATCCAAATCACAAACAGAGAAGACAGGTTCTCAGTGTACCACCTCCGTTGAAGAACTTGGACAAAGCTCTGAGCTTAAGACCAGAGAAACCAAAACTCCTAAGGCAGTTCCGAATTCTAGTTTTAATGTGCCTTTGGAGATCAAAGCCAATACAAAAACACCCATCTATAGCAGGACAGAATTTGGTGAGATATTAGATAAAGCTCGTGAAAAAAGGTTCCAAACTGTGAAAGAAAGTGTGGTTGACAGAGATGATATCCAAAAGTGGGTTGAAAAGTTTAAGTTGGCGGACAAAAAGGCTAGCTCCGTCCTCGACAATAAAACCTCAGAGGGAATCTCGGAATCCTCTAAGTGCAATAAAGACAAGCCAGCTTATATTAAGGAATCCTTAGTGAAGGAAAACAATAAATGGGTGCCCAAGGACACAACTTCTTTGAATACTTCTTTATCCCCCTCTGGTCAGAATTTCACTACAAAGACTAGCCCCCAAACCGCACTGCCACTGAAAATCGTGGCCAAGCACGAAGCTCCAACGGAGTTTAGGAAAACATTCAACCCTATACCTTCCTCTGAGCTTAAGTCAAGTAAGGATACTCACTTCAAAGCATCGAGTGAAGCAACAAAGCCCGTAGAATTTATTCTTAGTCAGCCTCCTGCAACTAACAATGCGGGATCTGATTCTTGGCAATCTGGATCCAAACAATCAAATGCAACGTTTGAGGCAGAACCCAATAAAATGGTTTTCGTTGCTCATGAGAAACTTAAAAGCCAGTCGACAGATGAAATAGTGGCAATGTTTAAAGACGACTACGATCATGATCAGACCCAAATGGAAGAAGGAAGAGTCAGGGAATTATTCGAGACACTAGATAGATTTGATGGTAGTCCGAATCCTTCGTGGACCTCTGTAGCTACCAAAAACAGTGAAGTGAAAGGTATGTCCACGCATTCATCGAGTTCCGATAAAAAAGCAGGTAATACCAATAATGAAACAGGACACCTTGATGATACGGACTCGGGTAATAAAGCTGAGGACTATTTTAAAAAACTTGAAAACTTAGACTCAACCATCCGAGAAGAAGAGGTATTTCAGAAATCGGAAGACAGTGCCAACGAAAATGTTTTTGCTAAACTTAGTAACTTGAATTCAACAATTCGAGAGGAAAGCGGTGATAAACTAAAGGAAAAGGACGGGTCTAAAAAGAGTGAAATGGAGGATAAGAAGAATGTCGATCAGGCAAGTTTTGATCTAGCGCAAAAGATTTCTGCCTTTATGAAGACTGCTGGAGGAAGTGGTAATAGGACCGATGCCACCCAAAACGCAAAAAGATTAAATAAAATGGAGTCGACGTCCAAGAGCAAAGTTGAAACAACATCGGAGCTAATACCAAGCGATCTCTACGATCCCATATCCGATGAGGTTTCTTCCACAGCCCCGCTGGAAAAGGGCAAGTCCGAGCTTGAAGAAAGCGAAGAATCCAGTCCTAGCCTAGAGGCCCCAGAGGTCAAGCATAAGAAGGAGGAAGCCAAAGTCAAGGCACCCACGGCAATGGATGAAACCAAAGTCAAGGTTGATAAAAAGGCTTCGGTCGAGGAAACTCTATCGAGAAATGAGAAACCACAACTGGATGATGGGGAACTGTCCCTGAAATTGTTGGATAAAGCTACGGCAGAGATGCCAGCGACTGCGGAGATGCCACAGACAAGAAAACCGCTGACTGAAAAGAGCCTCCTGCAACACCTCTTCGATAAGATTTTCGGCAGGGGCAAGAGTAACGAAGGAAAACGGCAGATGTCCTCTTACACAGGTCGACGTCACCTTAGCACAAGCTCCGTGGTTGCAATCTCGCCTAGAAGCTTTTCGCATTATAAATCCAAAACAATGGGCTCCAGGAGTTGGAATAAGCGATTGGTCAAGAGACGATTGGTCACTAAGATTATCAGCGAAGAGAATCCGAGTCAAGTCTCCCAGGCGGGATCTCCTGCAATCATTTGTCTACAACAGGCCGTGCAGGAGCCGCCCACATTTGATTTGTTCGCCAAGGACAAGAACGATGACACCGAAATTAAGGGAGGCTCTCCCGATTGCCCTTCGCCCAAAAAGACGCCGCGTGAGCTTCTCCGTGAGAAGCAGCAAACCAGGAAGATCAAGATCCTTGGCGGATCCGAGGAGTGTGCCAAGAAGATGAAACGGCTCGAGGAACTCAAGAAGGAAATGGACGACGATGACTGTGGGCGGGAACATTTTTCAAACAACTTGTCGCGGTTTTTTCGCCAGCTCTGGGTAAGTTTGGGGTCACTGAACCAAAAGCCAACTATAATCAATAGTTACACTATAATTTATGTCGTTAACTATTTTAAAGCTTAAATTATGTTATTTTTTTTTTAATTTTGTATTTTGGAACTTCCTAAACTTTAATTAATTTAGATAAAGTATTTAAATAATACAATTTATTTTATAAATCTTTTTTTGTGCAAAAACAATTTGTATATTTTGTTATATTCTTAAAGGTCTGCTCGACTAAAGTGAATGGGTTTCTTTTGCCAAAATTGGGGGAACGTATCAGAGACTTTTTTGAATGTCATATCGAGGTTATTGACTACCCGCTAAATGTAGTTTATAGATTAGCTATATTTTGCACGACACCGTATAAAAAGAGGGGAATTATTCAGAGTCAATTAAAATTTTATACCACCCCGGGGGCTGATAAGGAGTCGCAAATCAGCGTCGACTCAACAATAATAGTAAAAGTGTAGGCAAGGCGACGAAAATATTCAGAAATACAAATAAAGCTCTGGGAGATGACATAGGTTGTTTGTAGGTCAAGATTACAATTTCTAACCAATGAAGGACAGTTTTCTATAATTCCAGATGCGGCAAACCACTCAAGCAAAGTCAAATAATCTGCGAATCGAGATGCCATGAATACGGAGATGATGTGATCGATCTGAGCCAACAACGTAAACATGAAGGGGTAGCCCTGATTGCTTTCTGGAAACCAATTTTACAGAGTTAATTGGATTTATTTGGAATTATCAATGGGAAGCAACTAACACAATATATATTTTTAACAACTTACGATTTAGTTTATGTTATTTTAACGTACAAAATATATTCATGGAACAATAAAAAAGACCAGGTTTGGTCAAATAAATTGTTTATCATACTCGTAATATCTTCGGGAGGCAGTATGTCCTTTGAAAATATATCTTCTTACTACTGACCACCAAATAAAACCACATTAGAACTCAGTATTAATAACCATTTTCTTTTAAATAAAAGAAGCAATACGTTACTTAAGTATATAAATTCTTTTGTAACTACATTTATTAGTAAAAATAAAAAGTGCAAGATAAAATTTACATTTTTCATACAGAAAAATTTTATTTGCTCTATTCAGAATAAAAAACTTGTTTTTGGATAATATAAATTAGTATTTCCTCTTATAATAAAATTTCTAAATATTATATTTTGGCTTTTTCATACAGCAATATACCTATAATTTCAAAATAGATTTATTGATTCGCTTTTTTTTTGCTGGTAAATTTATTAATAAAAGCCAATTATTAAACCTATCATTGGATAAATGTGGTTTTATCAGTGCAAGTCCAAGTATATTCTAAAAAAGATTGTGATGGAGAACTAAATGGTAATATTAAACCTTAACTCGGTGGACGTCTTGATATAGACTCCAATATATCACTAAACGCATGCCCGCGCAGGATAAGGGTTAAAGCCCCCTAGGCGAATAAAAAACAACAAGAAAGAAAGCAAACTTCGGCAAGCCGAAGTTCATATACCCTTGCAGTTATTGCATGAATTAAATACTTTTTAAAACATTTAAATTATGATTTACTTCAGTATATACTGAAAAACAGTGAAGCTATGATAATTTGCAGCTCAATTATTAGATAGTTATTTTATATATTTTTATTAGTTCTATGGGAGCTATATGATATAGACGTCCGATTTTGATAAAATTTAAACCATAATTCTGAAATAATTAAACATTGCCAAATGTCGAAGAACTAAACAAAAAATTAAAAAACAGAAAAGTTATAATTTTTTTCATTTATTTCTCCGATTGTTCCTATGGGAGCTATATGATATAGTCGTCCGACTTTGGTGAAATTTAAACCGTAAATCGAAAATATTTAACCATTACTAAATGTCGAAGAACTAAACAAAACATTAAAAAACAGAAAAGTTATAATTTTTATACCCTTGCAGAGGGTATTATAATTTCAGTCAGAAGTTTGCAACGCAGTGAAGGAGACATCTCCGACCCTGTAAAGTATATATATTCTTGATCAGCATCACTAGGCGAGTCGATCTAGCCATGTCCGTCTGTCCGTCTGTCCGTCCGTTTATATGCAAACTAGTCTCTCAGTTTTAAAGCTATCTGCATGAAACTTTCCAAAAAGTTGTCTTTCTATTGCAGGTAGTATATAAGTCGGAACGAGCCGGATCGGACGACTATAGCATATAGCTCCCATAGGAACAATCGGAAAAATAATTGAAAAAAAATTATAACTTTGCTGTTTTTTAATTTTTTGTTTAGTTCTTCGACATATATCAATGGTTAAATATTTCAGAATTATGGTTTAACTTTCATCAAAATCGGACGACTATAGAATATAGCTCCCATAGGAAGAATCGGAAAAATAATTGAAAAAAAATTATAACTTTGCTGTTTTTTAATTTTTTGTTTTGTTCTTCGACATAAAGCAATGGTTAAATATTTCAGAATTATGGTTAAAATTTCATCAAAATCGGACGACTATAGCATATAGCTCCCATAGGAACAATCGGAAAAATAATTGAAAAAAAATTGTAACTTTGCTGTTTTTTAATTTTTTGTTTAGTTCTTCGACATATAGCAATGGTTCAATATTTCAGAATTATGGTTAAAATTTCATCAAAATCCGACGACTATAGCATATAGCTCCCATAGGAACAATCGGAAAAATAATTGAAAAAAAATTATAACTTTGCTGTTTTTTAATTTTTTGTTTAGTTCTTCGACATATAGCAATGGCTAAATATTTCAGAATTATGGTTTAAATTTCATCAAAATCGGACGACTATATCATATAGCTCCCATACAAATAATAAAAATATATAAAAGAACAATCAAATAATTAAGCTGCAAATCGTCATAGCTTCAATGTTTTTAAACATATACGCAAGTAAATCATAATTTTAATGTTTTCAAAAATATTTAATTCTTGCGATAGCTGCAAGGGTATATGAACTTCGGCTTGCCGAAGTTTGCTTTCTTTCTTGTTCATTTATTTTTCCGATTGTTCCTATGGGAGCTTTATGCTATAGTCGTCCGATTTTGATGAAATTTAAACCGTAAATCGGAAATATTTTACCATTACTAAATATCGAAGAACTAAACAAAAAAGTAAAAAACAGCAAAGTTATAATTTTTTTTCATTTATTTTTACGATTGTTCCTATGGAAGCTATATGCTATAGTCGTCCGATCCGGCTCGTTCCGACTTATATACTACCTGCAATAAAAAGACAACTTTTGGGAAAGTTTCATGCAGATAGCTTTAAAACTGAGAGACTAGTTTGCGTAGAAACGGACGGACGGACAGACGGACATGGCTAGATCGACTCTACTTGTGATGCTGATCAAGAATATATATACTTTATAGGGTCGGAAACGTCTCCTTCACTGCGTTGCAAACTTCTGACTGAAATTATAAAGAGTATAAAAAGGGTATAAAAAGATTGTGATGGAGAACTAAATGGTAATATTAAGCCTTAACTCGGTGGACGTCTTGATATAGACTCGAATATATCACTAAACGCATGCCCGCGCAGGATAAGGGTTAAAGCCCCATAGGCGAATAAAAAACAAGAAAGAACGACATAGTCGAGTTCCCCGACTTGTATACACCTTGTAGACTAACTTGTAAAATCGTTTTTAAATTTTTATAAATAAATTTTATATATTAAAAAAAATATAAAAAAAAAGTATTTATTTCTTCATTGTGATTTTAAAATTTCAATAACTACGATTAACTAAATTTTCTTGTTACTTTAGTTTTGCACACGGAGACTTAGATATTATTGTCAGTCAATTTCATAAGTCTTGTCGAGAGATGTTACATCTAAATTTCAGTTTAGGCCTTGCATCCAAGCACTACACAACAATTTTTTATTAAAATTCTTTGTTACGGTTTAGACAGAAAATTTCAAAATTATTGGTTTAAAATGTTTAAGAATTCCGCGTTAACTCTAATTCGGATCACAAATAACAGCTTTTTCAGTCGTTGCCTACAGTCCACCGCTTGCAGGTTTCTTCACTTTAAGTTTCAAGCAAATTTAAAAAATGAAGGTGGGTATTGATTAAATGGTCTATGGTTACAATGTTAACATTTGCCTGGTGTAGACATCTGCAAGACCAATGGCCTTCCTAAAAGATTTGATGACGGTGCGATCGGAGAGAATTATGTACTGCGCCGATATCTGGACGATCTGGAGCAGCAGCAGGCCCGAAGGTTAATGGAAGAAGAACGTAAAGATCTTAAATGCCTCAAAGAGATCACTATGGGTGGTAAAGATTGCGACGATCCGTGTAAGAAAAAAGATCCTTGTAAGAAAAAAGACCCGTGCAAGAAGGAAGATCCGTGCAAGAAGAAAGACCCCTGCAAGAAGGAAGATCCGTGTAAGAAGAAAGACCCCTGCAAGAAGAAAGACCCCTGCAAGAAGAAAGATCCATGCAAGAAGAAAGACCCATGCAAGAAGAAAGACCCATGCCCGAAAAAAGATCCTTGCCCAAAGGAAGATCCCTGCAAGAAAAAAGATCCCTGCAAGAAAAAAGATCCCTGCAAAAAAAATAAAGATGGTGATATGAAAAAGAAATGCAAAAAATTGGCCGAAAAGGAAAAATGTAAAAAACTTGCCAAAAAAGAAAAGATGAAGAAAATGCAGAAAAAATGCAAAAAAATGCTTGAGAAAGAAAAATGCAAAAAAATGGCCAAGAAGGATAAGTGCAAGAAAAAGTAAATGACCGAAATGAGAAATATGCGAATTCAACAAATTTTTTAATTCTTCTTATACAGTATTTAGAGGCACAAAATTAAAGATTTGTACTTTACAGCTTGTTGCTTTGTTTTATCGTTTAGTGGTCGAATGGGAATTGCAAGGCTAAAGAAATATGCTTTTAAGGCATGGCCAGATCGAATTTGAACATATTTTAGATATTAGTTGGTGGCCATAATGTTTGATGTTTTATATTTATTTAAATAACACAAATTATAACTTTTGCTGAGATTGTATTTTAAGAACGGTTGGGCTATAATTTCCTGCAGCATACCCTCGATATAAATGTCATTCGTATTTCTATACCCTTTCAAAAGATGTTACAGGTTGATATCAGTGTAGGTCCAGCTTCTGTAGACTCAACACATATCTCTTTGCTTTGGCCTTTTTCAAAATTCTTTGTAACATTTGGCCGCAAAAGTTCAAAATTCAGTTAACAATGTCTAAAATGTCTGCGTTAATTCTAGGTCGGTCCATACAGACCACCTTAAAACGGTCACAACACCTAAAGGTTCTTGCAAACTTAAAAAAGGAAGGTTAGTGTTCATCTTTTGGTCCTGGTTACAATGTAATATTAATATAAAATCTCTGGTTTAGACATCTGCAAGCCTGATAGCTTTTCTATTCACAAGCCTACAAAATTTAAAAACGGTTTGATAGGAGTAATCCGCATTCAGGAGCACGAACGTTCTTTACTCGCCAATCCGATGCAACGCCAATTCCTAGATGATCTGAAACACCAACAGGCACAAAGGAACGAGTCGTTAGAAAAAGAAAAGGATGAATATCTCAAAAAGATTAAAAGAGAATACCAGAAGCTGGACAAAGAGATCACCATGAGTGGTGGCGACAGCGATTTAAAAGACTCCTGCAAGGAAATTGTCCAGAAGGAGAAGTTGAAAAAGGAAGAAATAAAGAAAAAGTGTAGGGAGTTGGCTGCAAGGGAAAAATGTGAAAAGGATAAACTGAAAAAGAAGTGTAAGGAAATTAAAAAAAAAGATAAATGTAAAAAAAAAGATCCGTGTCCAAAAGATCCTTGCCCAGAAGATCCTTGCCCAGAAGATCCTTGTCCTTGCGCGGAAAAGCCAAAGAAGAAAGACCCTTGCGAGAAGGAAGATCCATGCAAGAAAGAAGATCCATGCGAGAAAAAGAAAGTTGATATAAACAAAATTTGCAAGGAACTAGCTGAAATGGAACAATGCAAGAATTTAGCCGAGAAAGAAAAGATGAGGAAAATGCTTAAAAATTGTAAAAAACTGGCCGAAGAGCAAAAGTGCAAGAAGATGGCCGAGAAAGAGAAATGCAGGAAAAAAGCCTTAAAAGCCAAAAAAGACAAGTGCAAGAAAAAGTAAATGAAAGATCGAGGTTATCGCGGATTTAACATTAAAATTAAATAAATTTAAATAACTTTTAAACAGCGTGGTGATACTTTAATATCTGAAATAAAAGGTTAGGCCATATAAAATGTAGTTTGAGGGTAAAGTAGCCAGGTAAAGTATTAATAACGGTATGCAAACAAATGAAAACCAAAATCCATTATGTTGCAAACTCTGTTGGTTTCTTTTTATTTCCGCAAGACTGATTTAACTTAAGATGCGTTTCCAACCTATGGACGTTTCTAGTTATGGACAAAAAGTAGTAATTAAAAACCAATGCACATCTCTGATATCTATCCACTTTACCAAAGATTTATCGAGAGGAGCCAGTTTCAGTAAGCACTTGTATTTTTAACCAGAAAGGCTTAAGTTTCCGTAATTTCCCATGAAACCGGTTCATTTCTCTATTTTGACGTAACATGAACATTTTTTGAATATTATTATAAGTTTAAATTTGTGTGTACAAAATATTTACCAGAATGCTCTGCGTACTAAATATGTTAATATTATAATATTTTAATCGCTGTTTTTATCAGTGGCATGGGCACCCACCCGAGTTAAACTAATATAAAATGTAATACCAAGAAGTATGCTAAGAAAAATAATTAATATTAGCATTCCACAGACCATCTGGGATTATAACGTCAAAAACAGGTCTATTTATTTTCCAGTTAAAGGAATATCATGTCGCAGATCGGGTCCCAATTTTCTTAGCTTTTGGAATTTTTTTTACCCTTTAGATTCTAAATTGTCTGTAAACTTTTGGGACTAAATTGAAAGATAAGATGTTAAAGCGAGCCTCGCTGGCTTTGAGCCACTACCCCAATGCTTGTTGCCGTCCCTGCAAATTTTGCAGGAGCATACGGATGTATCATGTGAAAAAAATCGACGAGAATCTTCAGGCTGCTCACAAATCTAACCAGGATTATTGGAAGCCGCTGCTTAAGCTGCAAAGCCACTTGATTTCCCAGGAAGGTTGGTTTTGTATTGAGTATTTTTATGCGGAATCGGTACAAATTTTTTATTTATAAGCCAAATATGTATATACCAGTCTGTTTTAAGATCATTAAGAAATAATACTTTTGGTTACATTTACATCCCCCACATGCTTTAACTGTTGACTTAAAGTGTCGTTGTTTTCTATGCTCAGGTACAAGTGATATTCCTTACCATCGACCCGATCAGCCCATGCGATGTGCCTTCCTGGGGGATCTCAAGCTGCAGCTGGAGCGGAGAATCCTGGAAAAACAGTGTCACGATCTTAAGACGTCCTTGAAGCGGGAAATTCTTACCGAAACGGCCAGCGCCGCCGAAGGTTCCGGTGGGTGTTGCGAAGAAGGCAAGAGTGTTGAAAAAAAGAAGCACAAGAAGCGTGGCAAGGGTGGTGGAAAGAAGGGCGATGATGGCGAGGACGACATAAAGAAGCTAAAAAAGACGTGCAAGAAGATACGGAAGAAGAAAATGCTCAAAAAGTGCAAAGAACAGGCCGCGGCGAAAAAGTGCAAGAAAATGGATCAGGTTAAAGAATGCCAGAAAATGGAAGAAATGGAGCAGTGCATTAAGTGCGTCAGAAAAGAAAGAGGAGAAAGTGAGGTGGAGGATGACGACGAATGTTGTGAGGAGGAAAAGAAATGCCCAGACGAGGAGGAGGAGATGGAAAAGATGAACAAAGAAATCCAGAAATTAGCGGATCAATTGAACTGTGAAAAGATGGCCAAAATAGAGGCAATCAAAAAAGCATGTCGCGAGCAGAAATATAGAGAAGAATGCGCAAGGTTGGCAGAAGAGGCCAGAAAGAAAGCAGAAGAGGAAAGAAAGCGGGCCGAAGAGGAGGAAAGAAGAAGGGCCGAAGAGGAGGCCAAAAAGGGTCCCGAAGAAGATCTTTGCCAACTAAAGAAGCAGTGTGCCGAATTGGCCAAGGAGCAAAGAATCAAAGCGAAGGCCAATCAGAAAAAACTCAAGGCCATGGCCGAAAGGGCAAAGGCCAAAAAAATGAAAGAGCAGTGCAAAAAGATGGTCGCAATTGAAAAATGCCGAAAGAAGGCCAAAAAGGAAAAGGCCGACATGGAGAAGGCCGAATGCGAAAAGGCCGCAAGGGAGGAGGCGGCCAGGCTTAAAGCCGCCCAAGAAGCTGCGCAGGCAAGACTGAAGGCCGAAAGCGAATCTAGGGCCAAAATAGCATTATGCGAAAAGCTCAATAAGAGGCAAGAGCCGAAAAAAGTTGACATATGCGATAAATACAAATTCGAAGAAGCACTCGAGGAATGCGAGGACGATGTTATTGAAACCGCACAGTCGATCAAAACGGAGGTAAAAGATGAAATCAAACAAGAGGTCAAGGGGCAGATCAAAAAGGAGGTTGCTGGATCCACTCCTCCCCCATCTCCGCCACCACCCAAGGCCGCAAATCCACCCTCTCCACCACCCAAGGCCGATCCCAACGGACTCTTCCAGATTTGCAAAAAGCTAGCCGAAAATAAGCTAAGACAAAAGAAAAAGGAGATCATGAAGCTGAAAGCCAAATGCAAAAAAATTACGTTAAAGGAACAATGCGAGTGTGAAAAAAAAGCAAAGAAGGCCAAAGATCTAGAGGAGTACTGTAAGAAAGCAGAACAAAAGAAGAAATAAATGTTTTTTAAGTACCACGGCTTTAAATTCTCAGATCTCTCAGTTTACCAACTAAATTAAATTCCTTGAAGTATCACACATTTTAATAGCTTTGCCAGCAAAGCATTTGCTATGCCTACGTTATTAATTCATTAATTTTTGTATTTTATTACGATAATAGTCGTACATCAGTTTCAGGCACTATTGCTGGCTTATAAAATGAGAAAAAATTATTTTGAGCAGAGCGATTGCATTTTTAAATCGGAATCGACTGAATTGTGCGTATTTATTCGAATTTTTATTCAGATGCAGTCAAAACAATATAATATTGTATTGGATAAACTATTTAAAACAGTATGGTGTAATTAACAAACTTTACTGGTATAAATAACTCAAATATCTTATATAGATTGGATCGATGATTTTTAAGTCTTTCTAGCTTAAATTCTACCAGTTAAAGTTTATTAGTTTTTATTTTCAAAAATATATATGTAAACAACAAATAAAGTAACAAACAAAACTGGGTTTTAAATATAGTTTAACAACTTTTCCAAATTGTTTATTATTTTGACTGCAGCTGTTTGGGCTTTCGTTAAGGACGGAAAGCTATTACTCAATAAATGCAAGCCGATTAAAATTACGAAAAAAAATAGGCCCTCTGCAATTAAAATTTAAATCGAACTTTGGACATCGAACTTCCATTGACAATGATAAAAAGGGAGATTACAATTTGCTTTCAGCTTTTTAAGAATATCATTGTGGATCAGGTTGAGAGATTCGGTTACTGGTTCGCTGGCGGTGCCGTGGCATTATTGAACTGAAAGGTCGGATAGCGGGGTGCAAAGGCTCCGTCGCCCATCATTTGTGTATGCTCGGAGTCGTCGCGTCCGGCTATGGTCGGCGCCTTGTACTGGGTCTCCACAAACTGTGGTGGTGCTGTAAAAATTTAAAACATTTTATAAGATAGGTTCTTACTTAAATAAATATAATTAAAAATATTAATAATAGGTTCTTACTTAAACAAATATAATTAAAAATCGTAATATTGCTTTACCAAAAAGATTAATTGCATAAAAGTTAACCGTTTAATTTTTACTTTACCTTAGACTCAGTTACTCAATGATTTTGATAGTTAATTCAAATTAATTTTTATAGTTTACGCTTTTAAAAAATAAATCTACAAAATCGGAGATCAAGAATATGCTTATTCGTAGCATTCTTAGTTTGTACAGTCCATAAATTTTATAAAATCGAATTTATACTTACGGATATTGGGATACAGGGAACCACCACCCCCAGTACTGTCTGCCACATTCCAGCCCAAGGCACCGCCCTTGCCATCGCCGCCCGGAGGACTAGCCGGACTCACCGGCTGTGTAGGTGCCAGCGATGGATCCTCGGACGGCATGGCCGACGGAGCATCTGTAAACTGGGCTGGTGGCCTTACACCCGCCAATGGAATGGTGCCCAGGGTTATTGGCACCTTGCCGGTAAGATTGCGATGCGGACCGCTGACATCACACTCTACGTGCAGATCGTAGTCCAAAGCAATAATGCCGCAGTTGAGAAGGTTGGTCGGTGGCAGCGCAGGTATCTCCATTTGCTGCGTAAAGGTGCGAGACTCTCCTCCATTGACTGGACCAACACTTAAGTTGGCTATGATCACCTTGGACTCGCGCTTCTCGCTCCGCGGCTGATTAGTGTGAAACGTGACTAGCTTGCGCAGCTCAAACTTCACTGCGGTGAGATTCACATTGCTGGTGTTGTCCACCTCGCAGGTGATGGGAAGCACCTGGCCCGAAACAAAACCAGTTTGCGGTATGCTCGTAATGACGGCCAGCGGACCCGAGCGGCAGCAGAAGCAGCAGAAGGACTTCTCTAGTTCCAGCTTAAACGGTTCCTTGACACGTGGATTGAGATTCAGATCGACTGGTGCTATAACCGTAAAGGCCATCTTCATGTCCTGATCGAATTTCCAGGGACGATCAAGCGTCACCTTGATGGTGAAGCGCACATGGCCGAATTCACCCTCAAAGGAAGAGGGCAGATTGGGCGGCAGGGCGCAAGTGAAGGGATAAGTGTGGGTGCCGGGCGGGAGTTCCGTCTCAGAACCTGCAATCAATTATAAATTTAAATAAGGATAATATGTGTTGTTCCTTATACTTACTGTTCTTGCCGCCCAGTAGATAGTACTGGATCTTGAAGTACTCCTCGTGCCCCTTCAGCTGGGTCACCTCGTTTTCTGTCTTTCCTTCGCTAGTGGTCACATTTTTCTCCTCTGTCCACTCGGTGTTGGCCTCGCCCAAGAACCGGATGATAATGCCTACGGGGAACAAGTGGCTGTATTTACCGAATGACAATCTGCGACGTCACTGTCGCGTTTTAATTTTAGCTATAAATAATATGAAAAGCTCGCCACGGCATACCCACTGGATGACATCATCGCCACCAGTCAGCATCGCTCCCTTGCTTGATGGCCTCAAAATTTGATTATTGTAGGGTGTTTGTCACACAGATCACATACCCATACAGATCTATTTATTTACTTTCATTTGTGTTCACACTTGAAGCTATTTATTTATAGTTTGTTATCGCCTAACTTCGAAGAGGAGAAAGTGCATTTCTTCGGCGGGTTCAACAGCCGCTTGCTATGCGGGTAGTAGGTCGTTTAAAGACTATGAAAGAAATCTACTTTTGTGGGTGCTGCACCGGCTTTTTGTAACGGGATTTGAAGGAATAGCTAGTAAAGAAACCAAAAAAAAAAATAAATACTATTGCCTATCAAACAAAATATGTGATACACATACATATATGCTTATTTCATATACCTAAATCTTAAATTATTTGCTGACCCATACAAAAATGTCGTCACTTCAATGAGTAATAGAACGCAGCTGGGTTTTTAATTAACATTTAGTTGAAGTGCCACAAAGGTGATTTAATTCGCACTTACTTACCTCGAACTTTTTTGGGCGAGTCAAATGTGAACTTCACCTGTCCGTTGACTGTCTGTCCCGCGTAGTAGGTGTTCCATGGGTTATCCAATTGCACTTCACAACCTTTAAGGCCCATTTTTGAGATTCAGTGGCTTAAAGCACCAATAAATAAAAGACAACTTCGGTCTGTTTTTAAACGCCCTCCGTTTACCGAATTTAGAGATTAGAGATGGACTTTGAAAAATCTAGAGATGAAAAATAACATAACAGCTTTCGATATTTTAGTATAACCGGTTTTTGAGAGTTGCTGCCCTGGTTATTTTTATTTCTTTCTTGCTTCAGGGTAATTTAATTTATTTGAAAAAAAAATCCTTCAACTTTTCGCTTTTTCGCTGTTCATTACTAGTTAGTTTATGGTTACATTAGTAATTTGAAATAAAATTTAAGTTGCACACGGTACAATTGGTAAGCATTGCCATAAAACAAACTAACAAATAGGTGGTTTCAAATATAAATATATTACCACCACTCGGTAAAATTGTCCAAGAAGTGGCAAACGATCTGGTCCACCACTGCACGTGACTCACGCGAACTAATGCACGATACCTCACAAGTTCCGTCTCTATTACATACGAGAGTGAAGAAGAAGAACTTTTGCGAAAATTCACTTTTCTCCCGAGTTTTCATTGATTAAACAAATCCCAAGTAGCTAAAGCGTCGAGGAAAATGTCGCTTTTCCGCAAACCGAAAAAAATCCAGCGGCGCGTGTTTTCCAGCAACGCGGACGAGGAGGAGGACGGCACATCCTTGGACCCGGACGCCGAAATGGAGATGGAGGCGCCTCCGCCTCCCATTATTTCCGGCAAGCGGGACAAAGAGAAGAGCCGGAAGGCCATTAAGGCCCAGGAGGACAGCAGTAAACCGAAGGCGCTGCTCAGCTTCGCGGATGAGGGTGAGATGGTGGCTGGAATACCAGAGTCAAAAGAGTCTCTAATCCCCAAACCCATTGCAGATGACGACGGTGAGGTCTTCCAAGTACGCAAATCGTCGCACAGCAAGAAAGTGATGCGTATGCTGGACAAGGAGCGACGCAAGAAGAAGCGCGAGGAGCGGGCGGAAAACAGCGGACACCCCGGTGGCGAAAATGGTAGTACACAGCATTTAGAGTCGTCCGGTGGCCCATCTTCGGGTCCTGCCAATTCCAACTCAAATCCTGCCAATGCTGGCAGATATAAAAGTGCCAGCGATCAGAGTAAAAGTAAAAAAAGTGATAATCATATGATCCAAACCGAAATACGCACAGACGACTTTGTGGTAAGGTTATTATTATTCAATTTTTTCTACCATTAAACCGTTTAACGAAATTTCAACATCAGAAATTACATTAAAATATCGTAGACCGATTAAAAGACAAATGATTACACCATTAGCTTAAATGTGTATTAAGAGCATAGTTTAGTTATGATTGTTTGGCGCTTTTAAGCCATTTTAAATTCAAAGTAATATAGTTGTTGCGTTTAATTTATCAGTGATGGGAAATATCTAGGTAGTAAATATACCTTATCTATGACCAACAAAATCAATTAATTTTTAAGTGGTTATTTTTAAATTGTTCTCTTAAATACCACAGTATTCTTTGCTAGGACACAACCGGTTGTTTTTTTGTAAACAACTAGTCATTATTTTAAAATAAATGGCCTAGAGATATTGTTAGCCATATACCAGCCATGTTAAAAAACCTATTACTTACCTAGTTATAAAACTGATACTTTTCCCACCATTGACTATAATCGCATGCCTTTCCTTCCTTAGCAGCATGAATTCTTCAGCCTTACTCTGATCAAAACCCTGTTGAGATCGCCGCCAATAACATGCATTTACTCTTTTACCCCCAGCTAGTGGTGAAGAAATCCGAGACCCCAGAAGCAGTTCTAAATGGTCGAGCTGCCCTTTGTGCTGGGCGGGAGGATATGAGCGACGAAGATGATCAGCAATCCGAGGATGGAGGCCACGACAAAACGCGTCATCGCTTCTCCAAGCCGGAACACTTGAAACAAATGCTGGAAAGCGGTTCCATTCCGGATGCAGCCATGATACACGCTGCCCGAAAGCGCCGTCAGCGAGCCAGAGAACAGGGTACGATCGATGTGCTATAATACCGACAATAACTCACCATTATTTTGCTTCCAAATCCAGGTGCAGGCGATTATATACCCGTTGAGGAGCCCAAGGAGCCGCCCAAGCTGAGCACCCGCCTGCCCTGCGAAGACGTTGAGGGCGATCAGTCGGATGACGAGGAGCGTATGGACATGAACGACATTACCGGACGCAAAGAGCGCGAAGAGCGACGCGAGCAATTCTATGCCGTCGAGAATGATTGTATGTAGAGTGGACCAGTCCGTTTTGTGGCCAGTAACAGAGCCAAAGCAAATGCAGGTGAACTTTGTTAACTATTGCTAACCTTTCGTTCAATCCAATGCAGCCACCGACGAAGACTCTGATCGCGAAATGAACGAATGGGAGAACCAACAGATCCGCAAAGGAGTGACGGCTGCCCAGTTGGTCCATTCCCAGCACGAAACCGTACTCTCCCGCTTCATGATCAAGCCAGCTACTCCCGGAAACGGTTCCGCCATGGACGACGGCGACTTAGTGGCACCGCAGTCCACGTCCACGCTGCTGGAGCAGGCTTACGCGAAGAACGCTCTCGATCGCAGCAATTTGGCTACGGCAGTTCGCTCATCCGCCAAGTCCAAGAAGGAAAAGGCCAAGGCTACGGCTTTGCGCACTCCGCAGGAGATCTTTGCCGCCATTCAAGCACGTCTTAGCGAGCTCAAGGAACGCTCGGCGGATCACAGCGCCAGTATGGCCAAAATCAGTATCGAACTGAAGGCATTAAAGCTTCAGCAGCTGGAGTGCCAGCAGAACGCACCAACAGCGGCGGCAAAGTACAAGTTCTACCAGGAGGTAAAATGCTATGTGAATGACCTTGTGGACTGCTTGGCCGAAAAGGCGCCGGTGATTAATGACCTGGAAAAGCGAGCCCTGCTGCAATACGGCAAGAACCAAAGATATCTTGTAAATCGACGGCGGCAGGATGTCCGGGATCAGGCCAAGGAAATCGCCGAGGCAGCAAGTATGAGAAATTTATTATTATTGCCAAATGACCAGGAAATTGCTGAAACAGAGTTCTACTTTTGAATGTTCCTTAGGGAAATACTAATACTTTTTTTTTTTTAATTTTTTGATTTTCAGAACCCGTCTCAGCTGCTGCCCGACGAACACCAGAATACGAAGAGCAAGTCCGCCGTGCCGCAGAACGGGAGGGCCGAAGAACACGTCGTCGATGCGAGCGTGAGCGGAACGATCTGCTTTCCTCCCACCTGGATGGCATGTCCAGCGACGATGAAATCGCCGACCAACAGCAGGAGCAGAGCGTGGCTTCCACGGCACAGATAGAATCCCAGTCGGTGGAGGCCTTTGAGGACGTTACCGATGACTTCAGCAAGATCGAGCTAATCCTGATGAAGTTCTATGCCTGGCGAAAGACTGACATGTCCTCGTACCAGGACGCATTCGTTAGTCTGTGCCTTCCGAAACTCTTGGCGCCGCTGGTGCGCCACGAACTGGTCCTGTGGTCGCCGCTGTTGGATGAGTACGCGGACATCGAGAATATGCGATGGTATCAGGCCTGCATGTTGTACGCCTGCCAGCCAGATGAAACCGTGGAGCAGCTGAAGAACGACCCGGATGTCAATCTGGTACCGTCGCTCATCGAAAAGATCGTGCTGCCGAAGGTGACTGGTGAGTAATTATGCTTTCTCTGCTATAATATAATTTGAGGGCACATTTATAAATTCTTTTTAGCCCTGGTTACGGAATGCTGGGACCCCTTGTCCACCACGCAGACCCTTAGATTGGTTGGGTTCATCAATCGGCTGGGCCGCGAGTTTCCGCTGAGCGGCACTAACAAGCAGCTTAACAAACTGTTCGAATCCATCATGGAACGCATGCGGTTAGCCCTAGAAAACGACGTCTTTATCCCTATCTTTCCAAAGCAGTAAGTTTATATTTCGTTAAAACGTTTAACAACTAATTTAATTCTTTCTTTTGCTTTCTAGAGTCCAAGAGGCAAAGACGTCGTTCTTTCAGCGTCAGTTTTGCAGCGGCCTTAAGCTGTTTCGAAACTTCCTCAGCTGGCAGGGTATCCTGGCGGATAAACTTTTGCGGGAGCTGGCCATTGGAGCGCTGCTAAACCGCTACCTTCTATTGGCCATGCGGGTATGCACGCCAAACGATGCCATAAACAAGGCATACGTCATTGTGAATACCTTGCCCACGGTTTGGCTGCTGCCCAACAGTGAGACCCTCAAGAACATGGAGCTTTTCATAGGATACATAAAACAAACATTAGAGAGCTGTGATGCAAGCAATCCAGTCTTCATGTAAGTTGTCAACCATAGTTTTAAAGCCAACAAATATTAACTTCCACTCTTTACTTCAGGCAATCAAGCGATAAGGCCAAGCAAATACTTCAAAGACTGCATAGTTTATAAAGTGCAGGGAACCATTCACTTCACATCATCACGTTCACATCAATCCTAACAATCAAATACTCGTTGTAGAACGCATGAAAGCACAACTTATATCTTGTCTTGTTAGCAAATCTTATAATTATAAGACATCAAAAAATGTATATAATTAGCAAGTGCTCAGTAGGTCATTATTAAAAATCAAAGCTTGAGCTTACAGAACTAAATTGAGAATAGCACATCCAATCCAATCAATTTTAAATCGTTATCCTATGAACATAAAACCTCGAAAGTGATAAAGTTTGGAACTCTGTTTAAGGCTCATCGTTTTGTATCTTTACTGATTGTATTTAGGCGACTCTCATGCATAGCAATAATAAAAACCATTTATAAACTATGAAAATTTAACAATTGCAAAATCTATTTCGGACCAGACCCGATGTCAATGAAGATACAAAGAAATGCTTTGGAAGCTTAGGCGAACATAGATGCATCATAATCATTCTGCCTTGGAGACGGAGGCGCGTGTGAAATTTTGCGCCAGCTCGACAACTTCCGTCTGCATGGCAAGTAACTGTTCGTGGGCGATCTTTGATTCGCTGCTGTCCGGATTGGCCTGCAAAACTTGGAGGACCAGATCTGAAAACATTGAGCAACACAAAATTAATTACAACTAGACAAAAAAGCTTTTTTTGAAAAGACAACGGCCGCCAGTGTTATATCATCCCAGACACTTATTTTAAAATGTGTTTTAATGTACACACCTTAACTATCAATAAAAACTTACCGTGATATCGGAGCAACAATGCGTTCTGTGGCTCGTTCAGTGATCCGCGAATGTGCTGCAGGATGGCAGATACAAATTTTCCGGACGCGTGCAAAATGCTGCCACTGATCGTGGTGAAGAGTATTAGAGCGGCCAAATGCAGCAGCAGTGCCGGCTCCTGGCAATTGAGTAGCTGCTCCTGTAGCTTCTTCTTGTGGTCTGCGATCAGAAGGCGATCTTTTTTCTTGTCCACCTTCTTGATAATCATGCTGCAGGTCTTTAGCACCGCTTCCGTGGCCAGTTCAAAATCGTCAATGGTCTTGTTCAGGGCCCTGTTCTGTTCCAACAACGCTGCTCGGTACTGGGCATCGCATTCCTGAGCCAACTTATTCCGCTGATCCACGTTCAGGTTTGTATTTTTTACAGTCAGATTGCACTCGCTGGCTACGTATAGCGATAGTTCGTTGCATATATCATTGCCCAATGATTTGAGCAGATATTTAACCAACTGGGACTGCGTGTCTTGGGGGAACAGTTTCAAACCCTTCTCGTAAAGCCGTATATCTATCAGCAGCGTGTTTATGCGATCCTGTATGGCGGCGTGTGTCTGGCGGCGGTTGGTCTGTGGTGTGGCCTCAAACAACTCTTGTGCACGTGATAAGGCTGCTTGATTAAATTGGCTATAATGAAAATGTTAACCATAAATTGGAAATAATCCACAACATTAGATATATGGTTTGAACTGCTTTACTTACTTCGTATATAGAGCAGCAATTGATTTGGACAAATGTTCTAATCCCTCCTCCTCCAGACTGCTACTAATTAACTTGACAATATCGGCAGTCTTGACTAGTTCCAATTGCTTCATTGCCTTCTTATTTCCGCCACTTCGAGAGCTTTGCTGTACCTCGTCATCGTCATCACTATCGTTCTGAGTTGCCGCCTTGCCTCGTTGATGCTTCTTTGTGGACTTGGTTTTTGTCTCACGCCCCTGAGCTCCGCCGCCTGCTTTGCCAGAAGACGCTTTCTTCCTGCGCTCGTCGCGCTTGTCCAACTTGCCATCGTCCTCAAGCTCTTGGGTCGAAACGCTTCCCTTCTGCGCCAGCGTCTTGTCCACGATGTACTGTTGGTAGGTGCCGCTGTCGATGGCCATCTTGGCCTGGGACTCTGCCAGCGCTTGGCAGGGCTGAACCAGCTGCGTAAGATACGGTTGCGAGAACACTGAAATAAGATTGAATAAATTATTTAAATTTAGTTTGGCTACATTTTTAAACAGTTAAAAGTAAGAACAAAAATTTCAAATTATAGTTTTAATGGAACCATATTTGTTAAATTTATAATTAAAAAATCAGAAAATAAAAATTTGTTCTATGGGAAAACGGAAAAATATTTGTATTTTTTCCATTCAATATGTATTATTAAATTTAAAACTAAAGTAGAACATACCGATGCTGTCCAGGTACACAAAGTTGCTGGGGTTGCTGTGCTTTTGTGCCATGATAGCGCCAAAAACCTCCTCGATGTCCTCCTCTGACAGATTGGAAGGCAAAATGGTGGACAGATCCAAGTACTGCTTGGTGGCACTGCACTCGTTTAACGCCGTAACCACCGTGAGCTCCACAAGTCGAGCACCAAGGGCCACACGCTTTAGGAAGAGGAACTCTTCGCTGGGGAACTGTTTGCGGATGTAGGACTTGGCATCCGAAATACCCAGCTTTTGGATGGCATCATACTCAAGGAAGCTGTTTTGCTTGTAAAACGAGTTCACCCAGTCCGCCTGCGTCTTGGCATAGATGTGCGGAACGTACTGGGAGTTGGCCAGTTTGGAGGTCACTTGGCCGGCTGGCGCGATCTCGTCAAGCAGCGAGTGGAAGATCTTCTCTTGAACTCCGATCTGCTGCAGGATTACAGCCACATTCGTTGGCCTCGTTATGGCAGTCAGAGCTCCTCGAATCTTTGCCTTACACCGTTGGATGTAGGCCTGAGTGAAGAACACACGCGGATTGGTGGCATCCTGGCGACCCTTGATGATCCTGCCCAAATGCTTTTCCACCACGTCGTGCTGCAGAAAGTCAGACGGCAGGTCGAACTGGGAAGCCAACTCCGATATGGAGATCTCTCCTCGCAGCGCCAACTTCTCGTTAATCTCCTGTGCAATGTGACTGATATAATCCTCGTCGATGAGCTGGCCCAGGACCAGGTGTATGTGTGGATTTTCAGCCGCTATGCGGTCGGCTAGACCCACAATACGTGACAAATCCACGTTAAGGGTCTTGCTGACCTCCACCAAATTGGCTCGTCCCCCGTTCACATACAACTCATCTAGGATTTCGCGCTCCAGGTGATCCGGTGTTATGTACTCCTTGCCATCGTTGGTGAACACCACCTCCAGCATCTGCTTCTCCAGCAGCAGCGTTACGATCTCCACGCAGTTTCGCTCCGAGAGCCTGAAAAAGAGAAAATTTTGACAAATTAAGGTCGTTAAGTGGAAAAAAAATGAAAAGTTTGATCTTGCTGGCGTTACTCACTTCTGCAGCGTCGACGTAAGCTGCGCCTTTTGAAAGTCGGCGGCCAAGCGCTTGATCTCATCCCAATCACTACCCATCTTTGTTATCAATCAAATAGATAAGATATGAAAAAAGACGATTCTCATTTAGGTGACGTGCAAAAAAACTGAGACGTCAACAAAAGTCTAGTGTGGCCATACCACAGTTTTGCTAATAAGCATTCACGGCTTGGGCGGTTTAAAACACTGCTAATGGTTTGTGTCTAATTATTAATGGTATGTCAACCAAGAAAATGGAATGGTAGAAATCTTAGCTACTGTTATGTGCAAAACAATAAATTGAATAAAATTGTTTACGTTACGATAAAAACAATTTCTGTTCGGCTGCCTAGCGATTGATTGCGAGTCTATGGGGTGGCCAGAAATTCTTCCGAAAGAACTGGTTCGTAGGCCGTTGCAAAGTGTTGAACTGAAAGTTTAAACCCTAAACCCTCGCATAAACCTAAACAGTTCGCAAAAGCTTCTGTGTTCCGGAACCAGTTCCACCGCCTGTTTGGTTCGGCAGCACTTAAAAGAACACTTGGGAAAAACAATAAAAATATTTCGCAAAAGTCATGGCGAGCGCTGAAAAAGACGCCTGATACCGAAATCCATTGGACCGACTGCCTGGGAGCCACCGCCACCGATGATGACGACCGACTACGGGGGCCAGTTTGTGTCCAGCAACCCAAACGCAGGCTGCAGTGCGTCTTCCCGCTGGCTAACGGAGGAGGTCTTTAAGCTGATAGACATTGTGCAGCGCGACGAGGCCATCTACAATCCGCGCCACAAGTACTACTTCTGCCGGCCGTACGTGGAGAACTTCTGGCGCGAGGTGGACCTGAAGCTGGAGAAGAATCCGGGCGCCAGCCTTGCCAAGTGGACTAATCTGCGTATCTCGTTCCGGCGCGAGTACACCAACTACCTGGAGGAGAAGGTGCCGCCCTGTTGGTCCTACTTCGACCGCATGTTCTTCCTGCATCCGTATCTGCGCAAGAAGCACCAGCAACCCAAGTCGCTGGACACTCAGGTCCAGGACGCCTTGGCACATCTCTCCAGCCTGTCCAGTCGCATGCAGCGGGAACGTTCGGTGGTCATCCCGGCCAGCAGCAGCGGTGGTGGCCAGCCCACGCCCTCCGCCCACCAGTCACCGCCGGCTCCGCAGCTGGACAACTACCTGGACTACTTCGATGAGGGCGAGCCGAACAATTCCGAGCTGGAGGACATTATGGAGGAAGAGCAACAGCGCAGCAGTCGCTACCACAGCCAGCTGGATGGCAATGACATCAAATCGGAGTGTGAGGAACCGGCAGATGACTACGAACAGGAAACGCACGAGCCGGATGAGGATGAGCCAGAGGATCAGGACCTACATAAGATGGCGCCCACCTCCAGCTCTTCGTCTGCCGACGCCCAGCGTCGCTATCCCAATCAGCAGCCGCACACCAGTCGAATGCACTTGGGTCGTTTGCAGATGCGCGCCTACCACGACGAGATGCGGGGCGCCATTCGTCCACGCTCCCAGGAGCTGCAAGCTCCAACTGCAGCCGTAACTGGAGTGAATTTCGCCTCCCAGTCGGCCGCTCATCCAAACATTTCCTTTGTGCGGCCCACCTTTAGTAAGCCAGTGGATTTGGTCAGCACAACAACACACAATGGAGGAGGGCCTACCGGAATGGCTGGGCCATCCGAAGCGGACCTGCCCACACCATCTTCAGCGACTGTGGCCACACCCAATGCGCCCAGCAGCAGCGTTAATACCACCAGCAGCAGTAGCAACAGTAGCTATCTCAGCCAACGGCATGGACACAATCACGTTCATGGAGGACACCAACAGTTGCAGCCATCATCGCTTCCTTTGCGCCTCGAAGCCAACAATCCGTCAAGCGGATCCGTATCAAACGGCGGCGTAGAACTGTGCGACTGCAAAACCGATCCGGATGCCATGTTTCTAATGAGTCTGCTGCCGGACATCCAGAAGTTGAACGGGCGCGATCGCGGCAAGATCAAGATAGCCTTCCAGAACATTCTGCAGGACTACCTTTACCCGGACTAGTTACGATCTCTGTGTATACTTTCCGCTTATAGCAACGGAACCCAGTTCCGCTTTCGATCTTGTTAACGAGTGTATTCCCCTGATCATTTGAAACTCTTTAAAACTTTGCTGTGCAAGAACAAAGTATCCTTAAAACGTTTTGAACACTATCAGCTATGTTTATTAAATGTATAAATATTTATAAATATTTAATGTGTAACACAAGAATAAATTCATTTGAAATCAAGTGATAGATATGGCTAGGAAACTGGAAGTATCACATGAGGATCGCACCGGATTGGATCCTCATCCTCACTCAAAGAGCTTGAGCTCGCGAGTGATCTTCTTGATCTTGTTGTCCAGCGTCTTGTCCTCATGCTCGCAGATGTAGTAGTGTCTGGAGGTGCACTCTTGTCCGTAGTACACGTAGCTATGCTTCCCAGCATTATAGCTCAGCCGGAGACAGCGACCCTTGCCCTCGATTTGAACAGTGTTGTTAAGGACATCGCCGCCAGTTGCCTCCTCCGCCGCCTGCTCCGAACTGTCCACCAGATTGGCGGCCGTGGAGTTCTCACCCTTTTGTGACATCGCAATGGACGTGAGATTCATGTTGGGATTAACTGGCTTCGCCGAGTTGGACCAGATCCAGAGCAGTCCTGGATTGAGGCCGCCCAGCCAGTAGTCGCGTCCCCTGTGGGCTGGTTGGTTCAGCAAATACGCCATGATCTCTTCGTTCTCCGACACCTTCTCGAACTCGGCCAGGTGCGAGTTCAGACCCTTGCAGGCGGTGTTGGCCGTCTTCCAGTTGACCTGCTGCTGACTGTTGATGTAGTAACAGTTGTCGCTGATGCGGGTGAAGTTCGTGGGACAGGGATCCTTCACCTCCTTCTGGTTGTTCCCGGCCATCAGGTAGTAGATTAGCTGCTCCGAACGTCTTACACGACTTTCCAGATAGTCTAAAAGTGTTTGAGTTAAAGTTATTGGTTGATTAATCATTCATGTTTTTAAAAAAACAAAATTGACGAACTTCGATTAAATATATACAAACTCAGTGCTTAAAAAGTATTCCTAAATATAACTTAAAACTTACCCACTCGGTATACCAACTTCTCGATGGCTCCCAGAAGATAAAGATCGTTTTCAGAAACCGCTCGGAATGTGGTTGGCTGGCCGCCACCACCTACAATGTGCTGTTGCTGCTGCTGCTGCTGCTGCGGATGTTGCAGCGGTGCCTGTTGCAGCTGTTGCTGCTGCAGCGGCACTGGACGAACATGCTGCTGTTGGATTGGATTGCCATTGCCATTGGCACCGCCGCCAGTAGTGCCGCCTATACCAAAAAGTTGCTGCAGGAAACCAGGTTGCTGGCGTTGCTGCAACTGTTGTTGCTGCTGCTGCTGCATCTGATGATGTTGCTGCTGTTGCTGGTGCAACATCTGATTGGTCATGGGTCGGAACTGGGGATTAACAATTGGGCTCTGGCTCTCCACGGGCTTTCGCAGATGGGGCTCCAGTTCCACGGCCTCGCCAATCCGCCGTGTGATGTAAATATTGTTACCCGGTCGCTTGTAGGCGGATGAGTGATAGCTGAGCGGACCACTCATGCCCATATCGCCACCCATATAGGGTAGATCTTTGGACTTTCGCTGGCTGCTGCTGCCTTGGCTATAAAATGCGAGGGAAGATTGGCATAAATGTGTTTCCTAGCGCTCCTTCAACCCACCTCAAGACGTAATCTTCGAGAAACTGCGACCAAACTGGAGCTTCTGCATCCGCGAGTGATTCATTGGCGTATTTTTGTCTAGTTTCACCATCGCTGGCATTGCATAAGAGCCAGGGCCCATGGCCCAGACTTAATGCCAGGTAAACAAGGGCTGCAAGCCGGAGTTGTCTGTCAGCCGGCGACATGATGACACGTAATGTTTACGGATGGGTATATTGCCCCCGCCTCCTGAGAAGCACTTGGCGATTCAAGTCGCGCGCTAAACACTTTCGATTTCGGTGCGTTTTTTTTTTTTCGTGCGGTTTAAGCCGCGTCCGCGTTTCTTAGACGTTCGTTTGCTTGTGTCGAGCTGAAAACCGCGACTGAAGTCTCTGCTTGACTTTTGGGCCTGCAGCCGGTCCAAGCTGCTCTGCTCGACCAGTCTCTCGACACCGAACACTGTTCACCGCCAATGGCAATGGCCCAGACCCATTGTTGTTGCTGCCGGCCGCCGAGAAATGCAAAATTTCACTTTCTCCTTCGGTTGGCTCTTGGCAAATGTAAGTCATTGGGCTTTTCTTCGGTGTTCAGTGTTTCTCTCGCAGCTTTTGTGGCCCGTCAACGCCCGCCATCCGACCCACTGTTTACACTCCATTAAATTGTACCCAGCCTTAGGTAATTGACGGGGCTTATGGGGCCGTCAATTGAAGCGAAAACTAATGGTGTAAAGAAATCAATTTATTTATGTGTTGCCACATTAAATACTGCCTTTTTTGAATTTGAAGAATATTCAAATGATTTTCTGTCTAAATAAAACTTACTAAGAAAGTAGATTTTCAAGTTTTGGCTTAAGTTTTCACTCACGAGAAGCAGAGACATTTTCATTTTTCTTAATTTTTATTTAGGTATTATCATATTTATACTCTTGCAGAGGGTATTATAATTTCAGTCAAAACAGACATTTCCGACCCTATAAAGTATATATATTATTAATCAGGATCAGTATCAGCCTAACTTTACAAAAACTTTTCTATCTATTGCAGGTAGTATATAATTCGGATCCAGCCGGATTAGACAAATATAACATATCGGAAAAAAATTAAAACTTTACCTCTTTTTTTTAGTTCTTCTATATATAATTATGGTTTATTATTCCAGAAAGAAGGTTTAAATTTGATTAAAATCGGATTTTATAATATAATAACAATATAGTTGTCAATTAACTAAACTTTTTTTCTTTCTAATCAGTTCAATTTGTATTAGCCAAAACTGAAAAGAAAAGTTTTCTTAAATCGAAATCACTTTTTCTTTTCAAGTTTATGTCCCACTCTAATACGACATGAATATCTGCCAGCATTCATATCATAATGTAAATTATGTAAATAATGACTTGAGCTTTTTAGTGTGCAATTTAACACACCACTTAAAGTTTTAATAACTATTTTATGGCCCCACGTCGCGAGCGAATGAAGAGAAAAGTACCGGTGGACAGACGGGGGAATTAATGCTTAATTTTTAAGAAATGCCTTAGACCGGCAGAATCCATTTGGCCAAGAGGTGCAGACCGAGACCCCCATGTCGAACTCGGCCTTAACTGGATTATTGATGGTCAAACAGCGAACTGCCCACATCTACAAGAGATCTCTCAAAATGCAAACCGATTCACCCTGAAGATATGTATGAATATATATACCAATATCTGAACTTTCATAACTCATTGCTTTGACAATTAGCGGATGTTAACGATGTTGCAATGAAGGCCTCGTTTTGCGGATCGTGATCCATCGTCGATGAAGTGATGACGCACTTTAAATCGGATATTTCGGTCCAGCAACATCAATTGGGGTTTCCCAAAAATCTGAGAAATCATTGAAAAAACCGATTTTGCATAACAGCCAAGTCCGCCTGCAACCCGAAAATTTCTAGTAAATTTCAGCGAAGTTCGCTGACGGGCAAAGAAAATCAGTTTTATGCATCATTGAAAGCAAACATCAAACATATAATTTTTTTTTAGCAAAGTTTTTATAAATTTTTTTATACTTTTTTTGTGGGTGTTTTTTGTGTGTTGTGTAATTGTATGATATAAATTGAAATTAAAGCAGGCTTTGTTCTTAAAATCTTAGATATTGCCCTGATTTTTTTTTTCGACCATTTTCTCTCTATCTCTCTGCAATTGCCTGGCTTTAAGCGCTTCTTAATATTTTTAAACATTGGCTTTAAAAATACAAAATTCGTGTTTTGGGGTATTTTTTTACATTCTGCTACTTTTTACTTTAAGATAATTTTATTGTTTTAAAAAACAAAAGAACTTCCATTTGCTGTTATCCTTGGTTCTACACAATCTATGCTTGGTGTTTGTTGCTGTTGTTGATCTGGTTGTTGTTGTTATTTATTTATTATGAAATATATAGCTTTATAAAGAATTGTATACACAATGGATGTTGTTCTTGGTATCTAGGGCTGCGGTTCTTCTTGCTAGCCAAATCAATCTGAGATATTCGTTTACAATTAGTAGAGTTCCTCGTCGTCTCCATCTTCCTCCTCTGTTGCTCGATGTTGGTTTGGTTATGGATTTTGGGACACTTGGCCATTTTAGTAGCCAGCCAACTCGGCGAATGTGGAGTCCATCTCGTCGGCCAGGGACTTGTACCTGTCCTTGTTGATGCCCAACTCGTCTGCGGAGTGCAAATGATGGTTTAAAAAATGTTAAATTATTTTCAAAGCGGCTTTTCAGCACACAGCAACATTAGAATCGAACACAGAACACTTAAACTTTATACTGTGCGAATTCTTTGGTGCAAATATTCTGCAATCTTAACAAGATGCGCATGACCTTGTATATGTGATAAGAAGTAAGGTCCATACTCATATTGTTAAGTTTATAGAGTTCATTGAGCCTGGGTTAGTGACGCGCTGTTCTGGCAAGCGTTTCTAGTTTGTGGGTTAGTCAGCGGTTCTGTGCGTGGGTTCAGGGATCATTTCTACGGGGGTGCTCTACGGAATCTAGCCAAGATCTATCCAACCAATCGTTGCAGAAATCCTTGGCTTGTGCGGAAATGAGAGATTCACTCAACCAAGGCCAGGCGAAATCAGCTCGGAAACCATTAAATGACTAGGGACTTGCACTGATGATCGTCGAGAAAAGATATAGAGAGAGAGAGACATAGATTGAGATTGAGTGCTGATCTGAGTGCTGAGATTCTGGGCAGGCGAGACAGGTCAAGAGGTCATGCCACATCAAAACGGGTAAGAATCTGGCATACAAACAACAATATTTACATAGGTAAATTCACCTGTATTAACTACAGTTGCAACTTGGTTTGGCTTGATCTGAATATATTTTTACAGTGTACTGGCGTGGGGATCGGGTTTTGTGGGTGTGGCCACATTCAAGCGAGACTAAACAGATTATTTACAGTGTATAGAAAGTCGTGACAGAAGTGTGGGATGGGTGGTTGGTAAATACACTGAAACTGCTGGGGGGGGAGCTTCAAAAAATAATATATATATATATATATTGGGGGATTTGGGAAGTACTGAATTTTGTGTTGTCTTTTCTTTTGGGAGGGGCTCTGTGTGAGTTCTGTTTTGATCTTTTTTTTAATATCCAGTAAGTTCGGCAAATGTCTGGTCCAAATCGTCGCAGATTGCTTTGTATTTTTCCTTCTCATTGAAGAGACGGTCTGCAAAAAGCATTTTGTTTGTTGTTCATTTATACAAATATATACAAAGATAATCAAAAAGAGGGCGAGAGTGATATATTATGTTTGGATGTATAAAAACAATTAATGAAAGCAGAGAGTACTGAGTAGAAGTATTAATATCCTTATGGGCGATAACTACAATGCGAGCATTAGTTGAAGCCAGCAATCCGTCTGATCGAATCGGATCGCTTCCTGTGGACAGCATCTCCGGTGTCTCGTGGAGAGATACATCCTCGGGAGCTGGCTGAGTGGGTAGGCTGGATGCGTAAGGACGACAATACATACCCTCTAGCCTGTCGACCTCCTTCTGCAGGCGCTTCACTTGCTTCTCGGCGTGCTCGGCGCGCTGCTCGGCCTCCTTCAACTTGATGGACAGGGTCTTCATCTCGCGCTTGAACTCCTCCACGCGCTGGTTGGCCTTCTCCTCGGAAACCTCCAGGGACTTCAGGGAGTTGCCGACAACCTATGAGGAATGATTGGAGTAGAAATAATATGTTAAAGTATGATATTAAACACAACCTATTATAATTTGAATTCCTAAGCTGAATGGTATTTTAAATGCTTAAATGGTGATGAATTGGTATTCTTTAAAAAGCGAAAAATTAGCTTTCTTTAATATTAATAATACACTTTTAAAATTTTAAAATTGATACGGGTTTGTTGGCCTGTGGATATCACATAATGTAGTTTTAAATATTGATTTTACACTTTTGATTGAGTATTGCAATTAATTTTGTAGTGTCATTTAAAAAGGTTAAATTGAAGTTAAAAAGCGTTAATTTTTCGCTTAATTAATATGCAATTCATTAAAACAAGTACTATTTCTTTTTTTCTGTCAATAAATGTTTAACAGGGGACCTGATAAGCCCAAGATCGTGGGCTACTAGTCTACTAGTGTGATTTATATACTCTAAAATCGTGGGGTCGCTAAACTGCAAGTGCAACTTACCTTCAGCTCCTCCTCCAGCTCCATGATCTTGGACTCGCCGGAGCGGACACGATCCTCAGCGACCTCCAGCTCGTCTTCAACGAAGGCCAGCTTGCGGGAGACTTCGTCGGACTTGGTGTCGGCATCCTCAGCCAACATGCGGGCCTCCTTGAGCTGGTTGGTCAGCTGGTCCATGCGCTCCTCATCCTGCTGGGAGCGGTTCTCCAGCACCTTGCACATGCGGTTGTTCTCATCGGCGGACTGGGTGGCCTCCAGCAGCTTCTGTTGGGCGGTGGTCGAGCGCTCCTCGGACTTCTCCAGATCCTCCTCAATCTGTTGCACCTTACGGTTCTGGGTGGCCACCTCGGACTCGGTGGAGGTCAGGAGCTTCTCCTTCTCCTCCAGCTCGGTGTTGGCCTTCTCCAGCTGCTCCTTGGCGGTGACGAGATCGATCTCCACCTGGACGAACTTCTTCTCCAGATCGCGCACCTCCTCGTTCAGTTTGTCGGCGCGGGAGTTGGCATCCTTGGCTTGGTTCTCGCAGGTGTCGGCCTTGTCGATGGCGTTATCCTTCTCAAGCTTCATCGCTTGCATCTTCTTCTTGATGGCGTCCATGGTGTTTGTGTTTTTGTTGTTGGCTTAGAAAGGAAGAAAACTGGAAAAAAGCACTGTGGCGAAAGATAAAGATTAGTATGGAAACCCAACTGTTTTCTTAACATTAATTTGCAAATGTAAATGTTAGTCTCCATAGAACT